GTCATGCCAGAGAACAGGACTGTCCTTAGGAGTGGGGGGAACTCTGAGCTGGTGATTTGGAATTGGGGTTTTTAAGTGTGACCAATGCTGTAGAGCCAGTTTGTGCTTCTGGTATTGTTGCCTAAAGAAGCTATCTTGAAACTTGTTGCTATTATAAATCTCTCATTGGTCAGAGACTGCTATTCTATAGTGTGATTGGTGGACGGTTTTGGCTTGATTCTGTTACCTATTGTTGAATAATATTCTTGTCATAGACATATGATTTCTTCATTGCAGTTTGGTTTTTCATTTGTATACCCTCATTTATTAGAAAACAAGACTTTCCTAGAGCTATGCTCCCACATCCTATGGAACCAGGTATGGTCTGTTGTATTGTGGACTCCCTACCAAAAAAGTAATTCTTTCACTGATTTCTCTGTCACAGGAAAAAGGCCACAGTGAGGGCCGACTCCTCAGTCTCTTGGAACAGTCAGAGCATAAGACTGCAGGTGAGGACTCCAGGACCAGGTTTTTGGGCTTCTGCGTAAGGTCTTCCAGTAGAAATAGCCACTGCCAACACTTTGACTATTTGTTGGGTTATGTGAGTGCCCATTTGACTCAGTCTTCCAGCTTTTGAGATTCAACCTAGATGATCTCTCCTTAAGGAAGATACCCTTTTGTACTTGTTGTGTGTTTCATTTCAGGCTTTATAAAGCCTGGGGTGAGACTACCTGTTGAACTGGGAAAAAAACATTCCCAAATCCCATGGGAATGACAGAGGCCCTCTAAGTATATCTTTTGAAGGATCAAGCATGAAAAACCAGGCGTGTAGGCATTACAGACTGCTCCTGATGTTTTGTGTCTTTCATATATTACTTTCAGCTTAGTATCCCAGCCTATGTTCCTGAGGGATTGTAGGAAATAACTACATTTCTTTGTGCGCAGTAGTTATGGGGCAGCAGTAGAGAGTATTGATCAAGAGCATTGCCTACATGGGAACACCAATTTTATAGTCTGTAAGAATTAGACCTAGTAAAGCTCCATGTGTATTCTGTGGCATAAGTAAGTTCTAGATAATAGCTGCTATTATTATTGTTATTATTAATTACTTTTGTTAAAATTCACTAGATGCAGAGAGAAGAGGAGCTCTTGCTCAAGCCTAGTGAGATTTGATTATCTAGTTCTAACAGTTCATTCCTACCAAGCAATCTAAATCTGTGGTGCCTTCTGATGACTAAAAAAAAAAAAAAAAAAAAAGCAAACTCTCCAAACCTTGTATCCTGCTGCCTGTAGATCAATAGGTTGTAAATCTCTGCAGGTGGCAGATCTGGCAGCGTCTTGCTCCTCAGGTCCAGATTTGAAGTAGATTTATTCAGAGGTTTTTCATTTCAAAGTGGTCATACCTCTGTTAGTTAGCCTGTTGGGTGCTAATGCTCACATTCCATTGGCAATGGGCTGTTGAAAGAAGTACCTAGAACACAGGAAGCACTAGAGTGGTGACAGGTGGTGTGACTACAGCACTTAGCCAGCATTGTGACTTTCTCTCTCTATTACAGATGCAGAGATAAAGACCGAGTCTTCAAAAACAGGAGCCTTCAGGTGAATTGGGATATACTCTGAAGTGTAGCTGTCAGCAGTTCTAAAAAGCACAGCCCTGTCCTGTGTTCTGTGTGGAGTGCGATATTCACACTGTAGAACTATTGTGACCTCTCCTTCTCTGTGTAACTCTCGGGTCCCCCACATACCTGGGCTATATATTAAATGGCCAGCTCAGTGGACTTATGGTGTTAAAACAGCAGAGCGAATGCCATGTCTTACTCCGTACCTCTTTATTTTTAGCCAATCTAGTCCTCTGACCTAGATTTTAGTTGGCTTAGGATTGGGGTCTGAATCCTCATTCTCTGAATACCTAACTGTGTAGTTTTAGGTATATAATTTACAAATGTCCTTATCTATGAAAGTGAAATGAAGTACTTATCTGGTTGGATTATTACAAAGATCATGTGTACTGGGGCCGGCGCCGTGGCTCACTTGGCTAATCCTCTGCCTGCGACACCAGCATCCCATATGGACGCCGGATTCTGTCCCGGGTGCTCCTCTTCCAGTCCAGCTCTCTGCTGTGGCCCGGGAGGGCAGTGGATGATGGCCCAGGTGCTTGCATCCGCGTGGGAGACCAGGAGGAAGCACCTGACTCCTGGCTTCGGATCAGCATAGCTCTGGCTGTAGCAGCCATTTGGGGGGTGAACCAACGGAAGGAAGACCTTTCTTTCTGTCTCTCTCTCTCACTGTCTAACTCTATCTGTCAAATTAAAAAAAAAAAAGATTATGTGTACTAAGTGTACTAATAATATGTATAAAAAGCTCTGGCAGAGTGGGTAGCATACCCTTGGTGTATATTAGGCATATATTGAATCTGAACTTTCCCTTCTCTACAGGGTGCCCTCTCCAGAGGTGGAAGAGGCAGGCTGCAGCAGAGCAATGCAGAGTTCCCTCACCAATTTTGACTTAAATGAATCTCCCATCAAGTCTTTTGTTTCCATTTCAGAAGCCACGGATTGCTTAGTGGACTTTAAAAAGCAACTTTCTGTCCGCTCAGGTAGCCGGACAAGGACCAAAGCAGGCAGAGGAAGAAAGAGAAAATCCTGAATTTCTAGAGTTCCAAGGTTGACGAAACCATTAGCAATAGGGGTGGGCCATGTTCATGAAGCCATTGTGGCCTCCAGTTTATTGTTGACCAAGTTTCAGCCCTGCAGTTTTCATCACCAGCACCTACTCAGCATCCTGGTTTTTATGTTTTCTATGATCTATACAGACAACTGTGTGTAGTGTTCTGTTTTATAACAATCTTTTGAATTTATCTACAGTTAAAAGAAAATTTAAATATATTTATGTTTGTATGAAATCTTATTTCTATAGATGGAGATTTTCCTTTTTCCGCCTTATTGCAGTTTTGGGGTACAGATATTTTAATTGTAGGAGTAGTTCTCAGACTCATGAATTACCTGTTCTGAATGAATTCCATTACTGATTTTTTTTACATACCACCTATATTCAGTTAATGTGTAGTGCACAATTCTGAATATCGCAGGGATACTCCCTTGACTGTTTCTGACATCATTCTGAAAGTTGCCAGGGGCACTGGATCCTGCTACTTACTCTATCCCTACTCTTTGACCTTTTACTTTATTTTGCTGTCCTCATCCAATTAAGGATCCAAGCCAGAACATAGACCTTTTGAGGTCCTACTATTCTCAGGAATTTGTAAGTGAATACTGTTATTATTTCCTGTGCAATTATTTTTCCTAAATAGATTAGCCAATGGGGATTCCAGGAATATTCATCTGTTCAAACCAAGATTGATAGTTTTGTTGCAGAGGTCATAAGCAGTAACAAGAAATAGGTTCTATTTCAGTAACATTACTAGAATAATACATGTTCTTCACCACACTGCCTGGGAGCTTCGGTGCAGAGCTGAGCTGTGCTCTGTTTCAGTGCATAGACATACTTGAGAGGTGAGAGGATATTAAATGGCAGAAACAACTACCCGAGGGAGAAGATCCAACAAGGATATTAAGAAAACTGTGGCTCACACTGATTTGAAGATATATTGAGAGATGGTAGGAGGTGACTGTTGACCAAGAAAGGAGTTTGGGTCAGGTCAAGTGAGCTCACCACTCAGACTCTCCTAACTGATACATTATGTCCATTGTGACATTTTCCTTCATTTTGAAACAAAAATGAGGCATGTGATGGGAGAGTTCATAGAGAGCTAGGATGTAAGACACGGTACATGAAGTATTGTGTACCCTTTGCACACAAGCTCTCTGAGTTAAAAGAAGGCAAGATAGCAGGCTTGCTGTCTATTCCTTCAGTAGGTAATGTCTTGGAGCCAGTGTTGTGGTGCAGCGGGTAAAGTCACTGCCTGCGATGCCAGCATCCCATGTGGTGCCGATTGGTCCCGGTTGTTCTTCTTCCAATCCTGCTCCCTGCTAATGTGCCAGGGAAAGCAGTAGAAGATGGCCCAAGTCCTAGAGTCCCTGCACCTACATGGGAGACCTGGAAGAAGCTCCAAGCTTCAGCCTGGCCCAGCCCTTGGCTGTTGCAGCCATTTGGGGAGTGAACCAGCAGATGGAAGATCTCTCTTCTCCTCCCCTGTCCCTCTTCCCCTTCCTCTCTCCCTCTCCATCTTCTCCCTCTCTGTAATTCTGGCTTTAAACTAACTAAATAAATAAATCTTTTTTTAAAAAATAGCTAATGTCTTGCTATTGCATGGTACTAACATTATGACCCACGTAAGTAATAGCTATTTTTTGTGAGCAAATACTGTGGTCCAGGCCCTGTGTGTATGCCTTCTTGTAATCCTTATAGCAACCTCATAAGGTAAGTATTACCTCTCACTTCCAGATGAAGAGACAAAGGCTCAGCGTAACAAAGACGCTGATTTTTCATGTCAGTGGGAGAGCAGTGCTCCTACCCTTCAGTCCTAGAGAAAGTGCTGTATTTTGACAGTAGTATTTCGTTTTCCTGTTCTCCTTCTAATGACGAATTTATCAGTTATGTCCTATCAGCTTAACTCTTCCTTGTCTTCTCTCATTAAATGTCAGTATTAGAAGTAAAGCTCTGGGGCAGGCACTGTGGCGCAGCAGGTTAATGCCCTGGCCTACAGTGCTGGCATCCCATATGGGCGCCAGTTCAAGTCCTGGCTGCTCCACTTCCAATCCAGCTCTCTGCTATGGCCTGGGAAAGCAGTAGAAGATGGAAGTCCTTGAGCCCCTGCACTCATGTGGGAGACCTGGAGGAGGCTCCTGGCTTCAGATGGGTGCAGCTCCGGCCCTTGGTGCCAATTGGGGAGAGAACCATTGGATGGAGGATCTCCCTCTCCCTCTCCCTCTCCCTCTCCCCCTCCCCCTCCTCCTCCACCTGCCCTTTCCCTCCCCCTCCTCCTCCCCCCTCCCTCTCCTCTCCCTCTCCCTCTCCGTGTAACTCTGACTTTAAAATAAATAAATAAATCTTAAAAAAAAAAAAAAAGTAGAGATCTGGGGCCAGTGCCATGGTGCAGTAGGTTAATCCTCCACCTGCGGTGCTGGCATCTCATGATGTAGGGGCTGGTTCTGGTCCCGATTGCTCCACTTCCAGTCCAGCTCTCTGCTGTGGCCTGGGAAAGCAGTAGAAAATGGCCCAAGTCCTTAGGCCCCTGCACCCACGTGGGAGACCAGGAGGAGGCACCTTGTTCCAGGCTTCAGATGCACAGCTACCGCTATTGTGGCCATTTGGGGAGTGAACCAACGGAAGGAAGACCTTTCTCTCTGTCTTTCCCTCCCACTGTCTGTAAATCTAATTCTCAAATAAAAATAAATCTTTAGCAACAATAACAAAAAAAAGTAAAGCTCTATAAACAGGTGATAGTATGCTTATCTCTTGCCTGACGGTAAGTAAAAGTGCTGCTTCTAGAAAGTGCATTATTTAGCTTAAAATTAAATGGTCTCCATAGAACATGCAGGTTAGTGGCAGGAGGGTGTGGATCAGCCAGACCAGGAACCATAGTTAATTTTTAGCTAATAGGGAGTCAAGAGCAAACCACCCCACACACATACTTAACGTCTTTGCAACTATCTTGGGCAGGAACTGCTTGTTTATCCATAGTCTTATTCTCCCCAGGCTGTAGCTAGTGAAAGGATAGACAAAGTGAAAGATGTGTCATATCAGTCTAAGTCTGGACCTTGCTTCTGTTACAAATTCAGCTCCCAGACCTATTTCCTTGTCATGCTTGTCAATAAAATGGGAAACTTCATACTTACAGGGTTCTAAGGAGTCACATGATGTATATAAAGAGTGTAGCACCATATCTATCACATAGAAGATGAATTAGTGGCAGAAGCTTACTAACGTGATACTGTGATGCTAAGCTTATGTATCATAAGTGTTGCAGTAATGTGGGCCAGAGAGAGGTGGGCAGATGCAGGAGACAGCTGTCAGAGTGAGCAGCTGGGAGGGATAACCCTGGGTCCATCTACCACCAGCCTTCCACAGGGCCCTTTTGTACTGGGTGTTAAGAGCTCTCCGTGGATCCCTGGGATTCTTCTGAAAGATGGAAAGCAACAGTTCTCTCAGTATTGCTGATTCATGGAGGCTTGGGAAGCTTCACAAGCTATTACCATAACTTGGGAAGAAAGAAGGAGACGTTTTTGTGTTTTTGTTTTTTCATCTTTACAATAGACCTCTAGCCCTGGGCATTCATCCTTTCGCTATATACCCACTTAAAAAACACACACACACACACACACACACACACACACACACGTGACTGGCTGCCTAAGGCCTTCTCTTGGTTTATGTTGCTTACAAACTGAAGAGTGTCAGGAAGAAGCATCCAGCCAGTGAAACTGCAAGTTGGAAGATAAATAACCCCAGCCTCCTCAAACCTCTGAGGCATAGTCCACCTGTCAGGATTCCCTTGTAGGACTGAAGCTCATTTACTCTGAGCAGGAACTTATGGCTCCTTGCCCTTCCTAAATCAATTCCAACTTTCCTGGCAGGGCTGAGACCAAGACAGGGGTCTCCGGTTTGTGTAAGTGCAAAGTTGGCGTGCACCTGACCTGAGGGGATCTCTGTAATTCTATACCCTAGGCATATCACTTTCATCACTGACTCTGCCCTGTCCTGGATCACTTCTCAAGTAAGGTATTTGCACTCAAATTAGGTTGCTTCAGGGGGACTCAACATAAGCAAATCCTGTGAAGAAATTGGACCCCGGATTCTATGCAGGGAAATCAGGCACAGAAGAAGTTTGCCTAAGGTCACACAGCTGGTAAATGGGATGGGATGGGATGGGATTTGAACCAAGGTCTTTGTGACATTAGAGCGCATGTGCACTCTGTACCGTCCTACACCACCCCCCACCTTACACTCTAGCCACAAAACTAATGATTCAATTGGTAGTTCAGGATTGGGTGGGCTCTTTTCTCACCTGTGAGGCAGATAGCCTTGACCTCAAGTTGATTTTGGCAGATGGAGGTTTGGAGGAAGGGAAGGGAGGTAGTAAGTAGATGGGAAAGTTAGTTACCAGTGAAAAGATAGAAGAGTGTACGTACTGCTGAAACCACTCGTACCCGGAAGGCAGGAAGCAGTTACTAATTTCCTTTCAGTTTCAACAGCCCTGGACTATTTGTGGAAGGCTCTTAAATTAAAAAAAATTAACTGATACCTGTTCTGTATCAGGTCTAGAACTTGGTCCTAAGCCTCCAAAAATGAATAGGAAACATTCTCCAGAAACTCACAGTACAATGGGGAAGATAAACACATAAACAGATTATATTAATAAACGGTTAAGTACAACGATACAAGGCAGTTTACTGACAAGCTCAGAACAAAGAAGGGCCTGGCCTCCCAGCCCAGCAGTGGTTCTCTAGCCCTGCCATCCCTGCCTGTCCCCATTCCCTTGTGGACAGCTGGAGACTGGCATTAGGGGCTGTACGGAAACGTGTCAGGCCTTGTCTTTCTTTGCCCTCATTGGTCAGCGGCCACCTGGTGTCTGAAGAGCACTGCTAGCAGCTGCAGTGCCTCTGCAATGGCCAGGGCTGTCCCAGCTGCCCACAACCCTCAAGTCCAGCCTCCTCCCTCCCCGGCCTTGATCCAGACCATCCCTGGCACGGGGGGCCCCTGCTTCTGAGGGAATGAACACAATTTCCAAGAACAAGGAGAAACGCTGGTCAAGGCTGTATCCTCACCCTGAGTCCTGGCAGTCAACATGAGTTGCAGCTGGGCCTCCCACATTGACTCCCAAGTAAAGGACGTCGAGAGGTAGGAAGCCCAGGCTTGGCAGGATGCTGCCTCTCTCTGCCCGCCACTTGCTGCCTTTCCGAGCCTGTATATCTGGTTCGTACTCCAAAGTGTGCAGCAGGACTGAAGTCTGCTGTGCTTTCGGGCCTAACCTTGTCAAGATTGATAGAGGAACCTGCATCCTGGTGTCTGGTGGAGGTCTTGTACTATTCGTGGTTAATGGCAGGGTTACTGCTGATGGGATAGCCTGAAGTTTTCAAGTCTGTCCACCATTTTGCCTGAAATGAAAACTGTTGCCATCTGTCTAGTCTTCTACAGACACACTTCTACACATTCAAGACTAGTTCAGCTGAAAAAAAAATATTTGGTGGGGTTGGCACTGTGGCATAGAAGGGCAAGCATCTGCCTGTAGTGCTGGCATCCCATATGGGTGCTGGTTCGAGTCCCGGCTGCTCCACTGCCAATCTAGCTCCCTGCTAATATGCCTGGAAAAGCAGTGGAAGATGGCCCAAGTACTTAGGCCCATGAACCCACGTGGGAGACTGGAAGTGGCTCCTGGCTTTATCCTTGGCCAGCCCTGACCATTATGGCTGTTTGGAGAGTGAACCAATGGATGGAAAATTCTCCCCCGCCCCCTTGTGTGTGTGTGTATGTGTGTGTGTCTTTCTGCCAGCATCTGGAGAAGTACACCTGTGAAGTGAACCTACTCTTTGGCCTGCAGACTAAGGCCAGACTGCACAGCCTGGCTGACACCTGTCCCACCATAGACCCTCCCCTACATGTTTAGACCCCATTCCGTAAGAGCACCTGTGTGTGTGAGAGCCAGAACTACATACACTGGTCAAGGACCCCTTCCGTCAGCCTTCTGCTCTGCTAGGCTCAGCTCCTCAACCTCCCCTGCGCTCGGGCAGTCGGTCGCTTCCTCTGTTTCCACATTGCCTCTTTCTCATTAGTACACATTTCAGACAATTGTCCAGTAGACTTCATCTCTCCCAGGTTAGGCTCCTCCAGTGGCTTCTTAGGGTGAGCTTAGTTCTCCCAGTGTGTGTAAGAGGAAGAGAGCTCCCAGCACTACAGAGGAGCTGTCTCGGCACCCTTCACTCTCTTCAGGGCTCCAACCTCCCGTGGTCATCTTTCTCAAGTTTGCACCACAGTTCTGCTTACGCTGGGCTCCTCTTAGGGCAGACTTGGAAGGCAAAGCTCCTTCCTGAATTAGCTGGTGTCTGGTAAACAGTGGCAGAGGAAGAGGGTGGGGTTTGGAGACATTATAAACTCTGGTCCGCCCCGAGTTTCACTTTGGGGAACCGGTCAAGGTCACTGGGGTGCCTCACATTGAGAGAAAATAGTGAAAATCGGAGGAGTGACCAGCTGCTGTTTCCCAGGTAAGATGCCTTCGCAGTCGAATTCCTTTCTGCTTCATCCCTAGTTCTTTTGTTCTTCCCCCTCTTTCTTGGCCCACGCCAGAGGAAGTAGAAGCTGGAAAGACCAAGCCAGCTGGTTCCATCCTCAGTAGGAGTCCCTGGGATGCCTTTCAGAAGGAGATCTCTGTGTAGCAAACTCATCGGATGCAAGCCAAGAGGCCCTTGGGTGAAATGTGTGCACAATATACATGGGTGCTGGGCGTGTAGCCATGAGGGACACACGTGCCTCCCTGCAGGGACTCAGCTGGAAGATACAGACCTAAAGACCTCTACCTAGAGTGTGCATCCTGGGGTTAGGTGGGAGAAGTTTGACAGTATCTTATCTGACCTGTAAAAGTGCTGAATAAATACTGAATAGATGAGCTGGCTGGGCCTCAAAGGGAGAGAGCTTTGTATCCCTTAGCTCTTTTTTTTTTTTTTAAGATTTTATTTGAGAGGCAGAGTTAGAGAAGTCATCCATCTGCTGGTTCACTCCCCAAATGGCCACAATGGCTGGAGCTGGGCCAGACTAAAACCAGGAGCCAGGAGCTTCTTCTGGGTCTCCCACGCAGGGACAGGGGCTCAAGGACTTGGGCCATCTTCTACTGCTTTCCCAGGCCACAGCAGAGAGCTGGATCAGAAATGGAGCAGCCGGGACTCGAACTGGCGCCCAGATGGGATGCCGGCACTGCAGGCTGCGGCTTCACCCACTACGCCACGTGCCGGCCCCTCCCTCAGCTCTTTCTAAAGGTAGTTGCCTCAGTGACCACATTTGACCCTTGAAACAGACCTGTAATACAGAGAAGAATCATTCCACACCCCCCATTTGAAAGATTTGGAAACTGAGTATAGATACATGTGATTTGGGGGAGATTTGTCTGAAATTGATTTGTTGAATCACTCCCCCCTGCTTGCAATGTTAAAAAGCCATGTAACACGTAATCATTCTTCACCCTGTGCAACCCAACTCTCAGACCCTGCGCTAGGCACTGGAGATGCAGGGGCGACTGAGACACTGAGAGGTTATGGGGATAGCCCTCTATATGCAGAGCAAAGGCTGCTTTCTGACCACACACCACCCCTGCCCGAATCTCCCTGTCCCTTCAGGATGCGCTCGACTGGTCCAGCCGGCCTCCTTCTCTGGTCGGACTCCAGTCCATTCTTACACCCTTTGAGACCTCAGACTCTCCTGACCAGCGTGTCCACCTGCTACACGGGTCCCTCTCTGGCCCTGCCTGTGCCAGTGTCACATGAGGTCCCGGACGGCAAGGCGTACTCTGCTTCCTTTAGACCCTGCATCCAGCCCAGCGAGGCATCAGGAAGCAGCAAATATGAATTAATGACAGAATGGGTGAGTGGCACTTGAAGTCAGCCTCGCTAGTGCTCGGTCTCTGCCCATACACCTGGAAAACACAGGCCTCCCGGCTGACCACGAAGCATCGTGGAGGGTCAGAAGTTCTGAATTCTGCCCCTAGCTTCCTTCTCGTTCCCTTTCAAAGGAATGAAGTTGAGGCTCTAGGTTACAGCCTCTCAGGCCTTCAATAGAGTTAAGGGCTTGACCCAGGCTGTCCCTTTTCTCCTACAGGTGGTGGCCAACACCTATTGTGAAACCACATGGAAAACTGCATTGGGAGTGTAGGGCTGCAGTCTGGAGGAGTGGCCCCAGGCTGCCCCCAGGAGGGCACGCCCCGGCCCTCAGAGCACTCCCAGCTGGTAAGTGCAGCTGCCCTTCGTGCTTATTCAAGGTTGTCAAGAACAGGACTGAAGATGCCTGGGTCACTGGGCTCACGCCCATGCTACCCCTTTCCAGCTAAGCGAGCATTCAGCCCTGACCTGGGCCTGCTCTCCTTTGAGGCTCCAAACAGCAGCCGAGAGTGCTCTCCTCATCTCAGAGGGGAAGTGACTTGAAGGCATGAGAGGACCTCGGGTAGGGCAGTCTCAGCTCCCAGCCTGTCACTCTGGCCGCCTGCTGGGGTTTCCTGGTAAAAAGCTGAGCTCCCGACCCCCACCTTCCCCCACTGCCCTAGCTCCTCCTGCACCCGCATGTCTCCGCCTGAGGACCTGGCCACCGCAGGCCGGTGCATGGAGATGAGTGGAGCGTGGTCCATACGCCTGCGCTCTCACAAGGCTTTCCCTTTGTCATCTTGACCGAGGTCCGGAGGCCCTTGCCTGCCTACACCCTTGAGCAGGAAATGCTTGTGTAAGAGATTTCATGTGTTAGTCTGTTTCTTCATCAGTAAAATGGAGGGCAGTAAAGGCAAATATGCCTCTTGTCTGGTGGCTTAAAGGAGCTCACGGAGTCGCAGTGCCTGCACACAAGAGGCATCTGTGAACGGGGTCCTGAGTCATTTCCTGTAATCTCCTTAGTTTTCCGTTTTGACGTGCGCTCAACTAGGCACATGGCTGAAGCTGTAGAGGCCATACCCCCTCACTGTGTTTCAGGTCCCAGGGGGCACCCCAGACCTGGCTGCAGATGTTTTCCCCTGTGCTCAGCCCACAGCCAGGCTCAGGAGGGAGCCGTGAGCCACGGCGTCTGCCCAGCCAGGGACCGCTCCGGAGCTGCTGCTGTCTCCTTTTCACTTCCCGCCCTCTCTCCCGAGAATTCTGCGCGGGTCCCACATCTGCCCTGCTGCCTACGTCCCCCAACCTGTGCACTCTTCGGGGCAGGCTTTGGCACAGCCATGAGGGTACCACTGCAACGCCCTCATTTCATATCGGAGGGCCTGTGTTCAGATCCCACTCCACTTCCGATTCCAGCTTCCTGATGTGCACCCTGGGAGGCAGTGGTTAAGGACTTGGATCCCTGCCACCCACAATGGACACCTGGATTGAGTTCCTGGATCCTGGCTTCGGCCAGCCCAGTCTTGCTGTTCTGATCCTTTGGGGAATGAAGCAGGGGATGGGACATCTCGCTTTGTGCATCTCTCTCTCTCTCTCTTTCTCTCTCTCTCTCTCTCTTTGCCTTCCAAATAAATAATTTAAATCCCCTTTGGCTTCGGGGGACTTCATAGATGCCAAATTTCCCATGATCTTAGGCCCCGGACTCAACAATCCGGGCCTCACCCTAGGCTCCCCTTCCCATGGCCTGAGTTTGAGAAGAGGTTCCTTAGCCACAAGTGGTTCATGCCTGTCCCCCACAGTGGGTTCTGAGCCCCCGCGATCAGGATTTGGTTGGTGTTGCGTTTTTGTGGTGCTTGCAGTAGCGTTGGGTGCGTGGTAGGGGCTCAGTCACTGCTTTGGAAAGGGTGGCGAGCCCAAGGAGGACGCCCTGGCGGTGTGGCCTCTAAATCTCATGTGTGAGCGTGCTCTGGCTCTGGAGTCTGAGAGTGGGCTAGGAGCGCCAAGTCCTTTTTTTTTTTTTTTTTTAAGATTCATTTATTTATTTGAAAGGGGGAGGGAGGGAGGGAGGGAGGGAGAGAGAGAGAGAGAGAGAGAGAGAATCTTCATCTGCTAGTTTAATCCTTAAGTGGCTGCAATGGCCAGGGCTGGGCCAGGCCTAGGCTAGGAGCCTGGGACTCCATCTGGCGCTCCCATGTGGGAGGCAGGGGCCCAAGTACGTGGGCCGTCCTCTGCTGCTTTAGTGAGGAGCTGGGTCGGAAGTGGAGCAGCCAGGACTCACACCTGCACCCATCCAGGACGTTGGTGTTGCAGGCGGTGGCACCCAATGCTTTACCCGCCACCACCACAGCACTCAGCCCCAACAGAGCAAACACTTGATCTTGAAGTCTGTTCATGCATTTGCTCATTCTTTTGTTCATTCCGAGGCAACTGGGAGGCGCTTGCTCTGGGTACTGAGGAGCTGGAGAGCAATCACTCAGTCACAGTGTGAAAGGAAGAGGCTGGGACCGGTACTGTGGTGTGGTGGGTAAAGCCACTGCCTGCAATGCTGCTGGCATCCTGTATGGGCGCTGGTTCGAGTCCTGGCTGCTCCTCTTCCGGTCCAGCTTTCCGTTATGGCCTGGGAAAGCAGTAGAAGATGGCCTAAGTCCTTGACCCCTGCATCCACGTGGAGACCCGGGAGAAGCTCCTGGCTCCTGGCTTCGGATTGGCCCAGCTCCAGCCGTTGTGGCCAACTGGGGAGTGAACCAGCGGATGGAAGACCTCTCTGTCTCTTTCTCTCTCTCTCTCTGCCTCTCCTCTCTCTGTGTACTCTGACGTTCAAGTAAATAAATAAATATTTAAAAAGAAAGGAAGGAAGGAAGGAAGGAAGGAAGGAAGGAAGGAAGGAAGGAAGGAAGGAAGGAGTAAGAAAGAAAGGGGACTGCACCAAAGCCTGAATTCAAGGAGCAGCGGCGGGGGGCGGGGGGCAGGTGGGGGATGTAGGAGCTGAGAAAGAGCCCCAAGGGAGGAGGGGGAGGAAGAGAGTGGGTTCTCCTCCAGAGTCCATTTGTGAGTCCATTTCCCCTTCCCATGATGAAATACCCAAAGCTGGGAAACTATAGAGAAAAGAGGCTTGGAAACCCAAGGGCCTGGCGCCAGCATCGGCTCAGCTGTGGTGAGGACCTCGTGGCAGATGGCAGTACAGTGGCGGGAGCACCTGCTACAGGGAACATCCACAGGACAAGACAGGAAGCCAGGGAGGGGGAGGGGCCAGCAAGGACCTCCCATGAGGCCCCACCTCTTAAAGGCCCCACCATCTCTTCCTATCCCCACACTGGAGACTGAGCTCCCAAGCCGTGAAAACCTTTGGGGGACATACACCACCCAGAGCCCAAGCAGCAGGACCCTTCTGACGATGTGGGAGCCAGGCGCGGGCTGTGAGAGGCGAGAGGTGAGGAGTGGGGTGAGCAAGACCTGGAGTGGCCAGCAAAGCTTGGCGAAGCCTCCGTCAGGGCTCTGCTCAGTCCTCAGGAAGCTGGGGGACCCGAAGGCAGGGCGTGAGCTGAGCAGGAAAGGCCTCTTCCGTGGTTGAAGTCGGGTGGGTGGGGGAGTCCGGCTAGTCCGATGGGGCCCCTCCCAGATGTTGGCCTGCTTCTCCCCAGGTGCAGGAGTGCCTGCAGCAGTTCCAAGTGACAAGGGCACAGCTGCAGCAGATCCAAGCTGGTCTCCTGGACTCCATGGAGCAGGCACTGAGGGGCCAGGCCAACCCTGCCCCTGCGGTCCGGATGCTGCCCACATACGTGGGATCCACCCCGCACGGCACTGGTGGGTGGCCCAGAGCAAGATGGGTAGGGCGAGTCTTGGGAGAGGGAGAGGTTGCTTCTTCCGGCCCCTGTCTCGCAGGCTGGACTAGCCTGCCTGTCTGTGCCCTGCTTGCACCCTAGAGCAAGGCGACTTCCTGGTGCTGGAGCTGGGAGCCACAGGGGCCTCGCTGCGTGTCTTGTGGGTGACTCTCACGGGCGTGGATGGGCACAGGGTGGAGCCCAGGAGCCAGGAGTTTGTGATTCCACAAGAGGTGATGTTGGGCACCGGCCAGCAGGTGAATGTTCACTGCCCAGCCTCTTGGGCCTGGGGCCCAGCCCATTGGCCAGGGGCTCGGTGGGCAGAGCTGACCCCCATACCTGTCCCACAGCTCTTCGACTTTGCTGCCTGCTGCCTGTCGGAGTTCCTGGATGCGCACCCTGTGGGCAATCAAGGCCTACAGCTCGGGTTCAGCTTTTCCTTTCCTTGTCACCAGACGGGCCTGGCCAGGGTGAGGGAGGGGCTGGGCCAGCGGGTAGAGACGGGCTGCAGCCTTGAAAAGGCTCCTGGAGAAGTGACCTGGCTTCTCTGCCCACAGAGCACCCTCATTTCCTGGACCAAAGGTTTCAGGTGCAGTGGCGTGGAAGGCCAGGACGTGGTCCAGCTGCTGAGAGATGCCATTCAGAGGCGGGGGGTGAGTGGAGGGGACAATGGGAGGCCTGTGCGTGCTGGCCCGGGCCTGGCCTACAGAGGCTGTGTCTGTGCTTCCGGGAGACCATTTGACAGACAAGGAAGCTGAGGCTAAGAAAAGTCAAATCTGTGTTTAGGAGCTTTGCCTAAGGACACAGACATGAAAAGACTTTGAGCCTGTCCTCAGGCCCTCACAGGCTGGTGGGGAGAGCATGTCCTGTATAGGAGGTGTGCTTGGACATCTTGGGGAGCACTGGGGATGAAGTGCCTCTCCTTGACCAGGGACAGGAAGGAGCAGTTGGCCTGGTGCTTAAGCCGGGCCGCGGAGGCAGCTGCGGGCTCTGAGAAAGGCGCATGCGCAGTCTGGCTGCTGGAGGCAGGCGCATCCATCCAGACCACCATGGGGCTGTGCAGAGTGAGCCAGGCCAGGATGCAGGGGAGGCAAGCAGGGTGGCGTCTTTAAGGAGGTGCTGACTCAGGGCCCTTGTCCCGGGCCTGTGGGGAGCACGGGGGCGGTGACTGAGCGTGGGAGCCACTGGGAGCTCAGGGGCCTGAGTTGGAGGAGGAAGAAGCCGAGGGTGGCCCAGGAGGAACCTCCTAGAGGGTGGGGCCTGAGTGGGAGTGGTGCACAGGGGTCGCCATCAAAGCCCAAGGCCCTTGCCTGCCCCCACCCCACCACCCAGCCCCCGCCCTGACCACATGGGCCAGCCTCAGCTGCTGCCCTCTCGGTCTCCCAGGCCTCCAACATCGATGTGATTGCTGTGGTGAATGACACCGTGGGCACCATGATGGGCTGTGAGCCGGGGGTCCGACCCTGTGAGGTCGGGCTTGTTGTAGGTGAGCTCTGCCGCCCCGGGGCGGTTTGGGGTGACAGCTGTGGGCCTGTGGCTGCCTGGTGGGCCTGCCCTCATGGGGCTTCTCCTTGCCAGACACGGGCACCAATGCGTGTTACATGGAGGAGGCCCGGCACGTGGCAGCACTGGATGAGGACCGGGGCCGCGTCTGCGTCAGTGTCGAGTGGGGCTCCTTCGGTGATGATGGCGCCCTGGGGCCGCTGCTGACCGCATTCGACCACGCCCTGGATCTTGAGTCCCTGAATCCCCATGCCCAGAGGTGGCTAGCAGCGGGGGTGGGGGAGGGGATGGGGGGCTGCTCCCTGGGGGGCCCTGGCCATACCCAAAGAAGAAAGGACTTTGAGGTTCTAGAACCCAGGGTTTGCAACCCTTGGCCCTGCCCCCACCCCTGACTCTGGCCGGCTCCGGCGGAGGTTGGGGGTAGCTGAGTCAGGGGGGTCTCGGCAAATGCTCATTGTTTGCTTCTGGGAGCCCAAAGAAAAAGCTCCCTTCTTCCTTGGGGGCTCTTGGCAGAGGGGCCAGGTGGGCCGAGGGCTTAGGAAGGGCTGTACCTGGCCGCCCTGTGCCTGCAGGTTTGAGAAGATGGTCGGGGGCCTGTACCTGGGTGAGCTGGTGCGGTTGGTGCTGTCCCACTTGGCCCAGCGTGGGGTCCTCTTTGGCGGCAGCTCCTCCCCTGCCCTGCAGAGCCAAGGCAGCATCCTCCCCGAGGACGTGGCTGCGATGGAGGAGTGAGTGGGGATGCCGGTGACTGGGCCTGGGGCAGGGGGGTTGGGTGATGCTCTGAGCCCAAGGTTAGCGGCGGGGCTTTGGTGGGATGGGGAGCTACTGGGGACACTTACCAGCACTCTGTCCCCCACAGCCCCTCCGTAGGGGCAGCCCATGTCCTCACGATCCTTCAGGGCTTGGGTCTGAGCCCGGAGGTCTCGGACGTCGAGCTGGTGCGAAGCGTGTGTGCGGCCGTGAGCACGCGGGCCGCCCGGCTGTGCGCCGCTGCCCTGGCTGCGGTCCTGGCCCGCCTCCAGCGCAGCCGGGAGCAGCAGATGCTACAGGTCACTGTGGCCACCGGAGGCCGGGTGTTTGAGTGGCACCGCAGGTATGGTGGAGACATCTTGTGTCAGCAGGTAGCACGAACCTGTGTGTGATTGTGCGATGCACCCAGGGTGCCTTCTGGGATCCAGTGGGCGATCAGCGGGTGTGCATAGTAATCAAGTAGAGTAAGAGCCAGCTGGGGATCAGGGAGACCCGAGATGAGCAAGGAGACAAAAGAGGCTTCTCTCGATGTGTGTCCCTGGGGGCCACGGCTGGGCATGGCACAGATTTAGAGATGACTGGTTTAAAGTGATGGGGGCCAGGGTGTGGGCGGGCCCTGAGGTCTGCTGCTGGGTGGGTGCCCCCCACCCCGTACTTGTTTGCAGGTTCCACAGCATCCTGCAGGAGACAGTGGCGCTCCTGGTCCCCGAATGTGATGTCTCCTTCATCCCCTCTGTGGATGGGGGGGGGCGGGGTGTGGCAGTGGTGACTGCCGTGGCTGCCCGCCTGGCTGCCCACCGGCGCCTGTTGGAGGAGACTCTGATGCCGTTCCGGTTGAACTGCGAGCAGCTGGCAGGAGTTCAGGCACAGATGCGGGAGGCCATGGCCAAGGGACTCCGGGGGGAGGCCTCCTCCCTCCGCATGCTGCCCACTTACGTCCGGGCCACACCGGATGGCAGTGGTAAGGGCCTGGTCTGAGTGGGAGCTGGGATGTGAGCTCCTGGCTGGCTGGGCGGGGCGGAGGGTAGGGTGTCACAGAGGGCTTGGGGCTAGAACCACCAGCTCCATCCTGGCACTGAAAGGGCTCCATTCCTACAGAACGAGGGGACTTCCTGGCCCTGGACCTCGGGGGCACCAACTTCCGGGTACTTCTGGTGCGCGTGACTGAAGGAGGGGTGCAGATCACCAACCAGGTGTACTCTGTTCCAGAGCACGTGGCCCAGGGCTCTGGGCAGCAGGTACCCCCAGCCTGGGCTCTGGCGTCAGAGACAGGGAGGGGCCAGGGGCCCCGCCCAGCCCTCACCCAACCCTCACCCACCCCATCCCACAGCTCTTTGACCACATCGTGGACTGCATAGTGGACTTCCAGAGGGCTCAGGGTCTGAGCGGACAGAGCCTCCCCCTGGGTTTCACCTTCTCCTTCCCATGCAAGCAGCTCGGCCTGGATCAGGTGAGGGGGGTGGGGCCAAGAGAAGTAATCCCCAGGGGGCCTCCCACCCACATTCCTGGAGGCCAGGGAAGCATCCCAGGGCCGGGGCCGTGGTGGGCCACACTGCTGGCCCAGACGGGCACCCAGCTTCAGTTTCCCCAGACACACATGGCATGCCCAGGGCCGGGGTCCAGGGCATCTGGGAGCAGTGCAGGCTGAGATCAGGGCTGGCCGGGGGACACTTTGCCTGTGTCAGCCGTCGCACTGCTGTGCTGGCCTGGGGGTCCCGGGGAGACAGTGCCCATTGCTGTGTCTAGAAGGGGCTGGGAGTTGCAAGTCTCTTGTCCTCTTTTCTCTTCTCTTCCCTCCCTTGCTTGTTTCCTTCTCAGTGCTTGGCTCCGTGTTGGGTGCCTGATTGGGGTGGCACAGGGACAGACACAAGTCCCCACGCAGCACACAGCTTGGCGTGCCCATCTGCAATCATGATGAAGTCGACGCACACCCCTGATGCTTGCATGGGAGACGGCAGCTCCCGGGCCTCGAGCCCAGGCTCCCAGGATCTCCTTGCCTATAAAGTCCTTTGTGTGTGCACAGAGCTCGCAGCCCCCGGTGGCCCCCACTGCATTCACAGACTCCTGTGGTCTAGACAGCCCCGTCCTCATCTACCCCAGCAGGCTGCCAGCGGCTTCCTCCTCTGGCCCACGACCCTGCTCTCCTTCACACGGGCGGCCTTTGGCCCACGCACCTCTATTCTGGTCTGCTGCACCCCAGGCTGAGGGTACTTGCTCCTTTCTGGATTCCTTGTGGGTCGTCGGAAGCAGGCGTGACTCACTGCAAATCCAGGCACGCCGGAAAGATGGTCCCATTACCTGCCTCCAAGGGTTAATTTCTGTGTTGAGCTTACCTCCTCTGGAGGGGCGGACACTGAATGTGGGGACCCCTTTCCTGAGGTCAGGCTTCCTTCTCCACCACCGTGTCCTTGCTGTGCAGAGGAACTGGGACATACCCAGGCCCCCACTCTGGGTGCCCCCTGCCCTTCCTCTCTGGAGCCTCGACACCCCCCTGGGCATCACCTAGGAGGCGAAGACAGAGATCTCCTGTTCTTGGGATTCCCCAGCTCCCTCTGGCCCCTCCCCCAACCCAGGGGAGGCGGATGCTTTTCCCTGGCAGCCCCCAAACCCCTGGGGCTGACTTCCTTTCCCCTCTGCCTCGCCTTTGCCATCCCAAGGAGTCTTGATCTAGTCTGGGATGGGCAGCTTTGCTGTTAGTCCTAAACTCTCACACTACTCCCTCCCATTTTCTTTCTCACCCTGTTTTTGTAAAGATTTTTATTTATTTATTTGAAAGAGTTACAGAGAAAGAAAGAGGGAGAGAGAGAGAGAGAGAGAGAGGGAATCTCCCCTCTACTGGTTACACCCCAGATGGCCACTATGGCCAGGCTGAGCCAAGTTGAAGCCAGGAGCTTCATCCAGGTCTTCTGTGTGGGTGGCAGGGAATCAAGCACTTGGGCCATCTTCCACTGCTTTCCCAGGCGCATCAGCAGAGAGCTGGATCGGAAGTAGAAGCAGCGGGGACTCGAACTGGCGCCCATATGGGATGTAGGTGCTTTAGGCGGCCAGCTTGGTCCACTATGGCACAACACCAGCCCTCGTTTCTGGTTTTGAGGCAGTGAGGGTAGCTCCCCCTAGCTGCTGGGGGAAAACGCTGGTTACTGTTTCTAGAACCTCCTGCCCCCAGGATTCGCCCACCTGCCGTCTGTGCCCCGGCTTTGGGCACAGCAGCCATCTCTCCCGACGGCTGTGACGCCCTTCCGGCTCCTCTCTGAGAGGCAGCACCTAAGGGAAGGATGCTCCTCGGCCAGCCCAGCCCCGGCTGCCCGGCCCCTCCCACCCTACCCGGGGCTGTGGCTTTTCCCTTCCTCCCGCACCTGTGTCTGGGACACACGAGTGACTCTCCCATCAGCCCAGCTCCGAGCCCTGCTCTGAGGATTCCTTCCTGTCTTGCCAGCTCTTTCTGGAAGGGCGGTGTCTGCTGTCTTCCGGCCTGTGAGCCTTCTCCGTCCTCTGCGTTACCAGTTCTGTTCGTTGCTAACCTGGTTACTGAGGGCCTTTCCTTTGGGGCAAATGTCTTTAAATGGCCAGCCCGTCAGACCACCTGAGCCTCCCTGAGCTAATAATGGGAGACGTAGGTCAGATCGTTATTAATGGGTTTCTTCACACTGAAAACCGCCTGGGGAGTTGGGAGGGGGCGGAGGGCAAGGCCTGTGACCACAGCGGCAAAGCCGGCGAGGGCTCCTGCCGGGAGGGCGGAAGTGCAGGCCTCGCGTGGGCTGTAGGCTTTGGGGAGGTGGAGCGAGACCTGAAGGAGGCCTGTGGTCTCCTGTCCCCCTGGTTCCCCCCGCCCAGGGCATCCTCTTGAACTGGACCAAGGGTTTCAACGCCTTGGACTGCGAGGGCCGGGATGTCGTGTGTCTGTTGCGGGAAGCCATCCGGCGTAGACAGGTGGGAACTTGCCTCAAGGGGTATTTGGTGGGGGTGGGGGCTTCAACAGGCCTTGGAGGAGGCAAAGGGTTCCCTGCTTCATGAGAGGAGGGGGCCCTCTGTGGTAGAGACCTCTGGGTCCAGCACTGGTTGCTGTGACAACTGTGTTGCCCAGCAACTAACCACATCCTTTTGTGTACAGGCGGTGGAGCTGAATGTGGTTGCCATTGTCAATGACACCGTGGGAACCATGATGTCCTGTGGCTACGAGGACCCCCGCTGCGAGATGGGCCTCATTGTTGGTGAGGGGGGGCATCTCTTCGTGCCCCTGCCTCTTGATAATTGTCTGTCTCCTGTGGATTCCTCAAGTTGCGCGTTCCCCTGGTGTTGCCTGACCCGATGGGGCCCGGGGGAACACTCCGTTGGGCTGGGAGACTGGAGTTTGGGTGTTTTGCGCGGCTCAGTTCCTGTGCTCCGTGTGCCCATCTGGGCTGAATCTGAGCCTTGGAGCCACAGGGATGTGGGCGGGAAGGCCAGCTTTGCTGTTCCCATGGCATGACTTCAGTCCCTTCACCCCTAGATGATGCAATGACTTCTGCCTCAAAGGGTCAGGGGCGAGGTGGAGATGAGAGGAGGCAGAGAGGGAGTCGCAGGGCCTGGCTCAGGGGCCACACTTGGTGTTGGCCCCAGTGATCTATGAGGGTCCTTGGACACTCCGAGGTTCCAAGTCTTCAGTGAGCACCTAGCAGGTGGCCACTGGGGGCTGAACGGAGGGACAGTGAGACACAGAAAAAGGGAAAGGTCCCGGCTTCCTGGAGACAGGAGGTGAGCCCAGAACAGCCCAGAGAGGTCAGGGAGAGCTGACTCTGACTGCACACGCACATGGGGTCAAGGCCAAGATCAGAAAGGAACAGGTCTAGGAATGAGTGGGCCTTGAAGAGAGCTGATCTGGTTTCCTGGGCACATCCACCTGAGAGCGGGAGGCGCATGTACACGGCAGCCCCCGGGCGACACGGAATGTCTTGAACGCAGGGCCTGGCATTCGGAGACACTGGCTGCCGTGCAAATAAGCAGCCGGCTGGGGTGCCTGAGGTGGCACCGGCCAGAAGCCCGCCTGCACGTGCTGGAGAGCCTTCCCTAGCCATGCCCTCTGCCTGGATTGCCTTTTCCCTTTTGTGCTTCCTAGAGTCACATACGATTTCCTCGCTGAGGTGTTCCTGGGAACACCTGACACCTCTCTTGCCCTTCCGTTTGGGCCCTCAGAGGCCAAGCTGACTCGGTTCATTGCTCTACTTCCGGTCTGACTGGGGTCCCTGGTGTCTGATTTTTGCATCTTCAGCTCCTGGCCTTTGCACCTGTTAGTTTGATGATGGGGCCTCTGATCAGCAGAGAGTAGGGGTCTGTCTCCGGGAAAGGACGTGGCCAGTGGACATGGTGGGGGACACTCTGGGCGTGGCATGGCCAGCACACTGGGAGTGATGCTGCCAGAGCCAGTCTTGGGGGCTCTGAGGGCTTGGTGCCCGCAGAGTCTGTATGAGGGACATGGGACCAGCACCGGGGACGGGATGTGCATGTGGGAAGGCAGCGAGGCAGGGGAGTGAACCCAAATTTGTCACCTTGTGCTCACCCCGTGGGGCCCCTGCAGGAACTGGCACCAATGCCTGCTACATGGAAGAGCTCCGGAATGTGGCCGGCGTGGCCGGGGACTCGGGCCAAATGTGCATCAACATGGAGTGGGGCGCCTTTGGGGATGATGGCTCCCTGGGAAGCCTCAGCACGTGCTTTGATGACAGTGTGGACCAGGCATCCATCAACCCCGGCAAGCAGAGGTATAGGCCGGGGCTGGGCAGGGGTGGCACTCAGTGATCGGTGCTGGTGCCGGAGCTGCTCGCGTCCCTTGTCCCCATCTGTGCAGGTTCGAGAAGATGATCAGTGGCATGTATCTAGGGGAGATCGTGCGCCACATTCTCTTGCATCTAACCAGCCTTGGTGTTCTCTTCCGGGGCCAGCAGACCCAGCGCCTTCAGACCAGGGACATCTTCAAGACCAAGTTTCTCTCTGATATTGAAAGGTGCCTGCAGGCCTATGCTGGCTCCTCCCCCTCCTGGGGGGATGGGTCCCACTATGGGGGGGGGGGATGCTGGCTGGTGGGGGGCATGGGGGAGGGGAAGATAAGTGACGTCTCCAAGGGGAGCTCCCGCAGGAGCCCGCCTCTCTCTGTGCTGTCTTCCTCTCCCGCCCCCCAGTGACAGCCTGGCCCTGCGGCAGGTACGAGCCATCCTAGAGGACTTGGGGCTGCCCGTGACCTCAGATGATGCCCTCATGGTCCTGGAGGTGTGCCAGGCTGTGTCCCGGCGGGCTGCGCAGCTCTGCGGGGCGGGTGTGGCTGCCGTGGTGGAGAAGATCCGGGAGAACCGGGGCTTGGAGGAGCTCACCGTGTCTGTGGGTGTGGATGGGACCCTCTACAAGCTGCACCCCCAGTGAGTCGGGGGCGGGGGGTGAGGGCGTGGGCGGGGCAAGGGAGGCCTGTCCCGGTGGAGCCCGGCTGGCCTGGGCTCACCTCAGTCCCTCCCCTTGCCAGCTTTTCCAGCTTGGTGGCAGCCACAGTACGGCAGCTGGCCCCTCGGTGCACCGTCACCTTCTTGGAATCAGAGGATGGGTCTGGCAAAGGTGCAGCACTGGTCACCGCCGTTGCCTGCCGCCTTGCCCAGACAACCCGGGTCTGAAGGTGTCTCCAGGAACCACAGAGTCACAGCTCCAACCCTGCTGGACTGGGCCTGTCCCTCAGCCAGGCCAAAGCACCCAGGACTCCCGGAGCAGCCCGAGTAGGACCCCAGTGGCCACCTGGCCTCACCCTAAGGGAAGCAGCACTTGGGTTAGCAATATATATATATAATTTATTTACATTCACGTCTGCTAAAATCCCTACGCGCCCCGGCGGCCGGGCAAGACTGTGTACATAAGGCCAAGTGTAAGTGCGCGAATGCACTTAAGACAGAGTCAGGACACGAGCTTCACACGACAGGGCCCCGCACAGGGGCGCTGGCCAGCCCCGGAACGGGCACGCCACGGCACACACACTCGCCATTGTACAGCCCGGGGACTCCATTGCATATTCACACGCCCCGCCAGGCAGGACACCTCGAGGCTGGGGGCAGGGGAGAGGCAGGGAGGAGCCGGCAGGTGGCCCCGGCTGCGTGGGAGGTGGGCAACGTGTGAGGCAGATGTGTACCGACACTGGGCGTGAGAGTTGTGAGCAACCTCTGGGGGTCCAGCATGGGATGTGTGTGTGTGTGTGTGCGCGCATGTGGGGGGGGGCAGAGGTGTGTCTGCATGATCCGGGAAGGGGTGCATGTGAGATGATCACACAGGGCATGCGTGGGCACATGCCCGTGTGCTGATCATTGTGCCTGAATCGAAGGGGCTGCCCCCATCCGGCTATGGCCCTCGATCCCCGCAGGCTTGGAGCCAGGCCCCTCAGATGCGCCCCTACCCAGCAGGCACAGAAATGTTTGCATAAGGTCCAGCCTAGGCAGGAGGTCCAGGGCCACGTCCCGAGCCCGGCATGTGCATGTGTGCCCGTGTGCATGCGGCTCCTGGCCAGGGCCAGGAGGAGAGGTAGCATCACACGAACATCCACACACACACGGGCTGGCTGGGCCCGGGCCGAGTGTGAGCAGGTGGCTGCGCCAGCCTGGCCAGGCAGGCCGAGGAGGGGGCTGGGAGTTTGGGCAGGGTCTGAAGGGGCAGCGTTAAGGGACAACCTTGGCCAGGAGGGGCAGGGGCGGCCTGTCCCAGCAGCTCTCCCTGGTGTTGAGGGTAGGGCCCCGTCCGGCTCTGCCCGTCCCTGGCGAGTGCCAAAGCTGGTGAGAGTGTGTAGGCGTGGCGGGTGTGGCCGGCCTCAGCACTCGGCCTCCGACACGGTGAAGAGGCCGGCCTCGGGCTGGCCCAGTCCGGCCACGGCTGCCGCGAGCTGGCTGAGGTTGCCGTTGGGGAAGTGCCGGGCCTCCCACAGGTTCAAGATCATGGCTGTGGGGCTGGGCTTGGAGGCGAAGAAGCTGAGATGGCTGCGGAGGGGAAGGGAGCCCGTCAGCGGGGCCCCCCCAGGCTGTTACCACCAGTTCATGTCCCGCCCCAGGGCAGGGCCTCTGAGCCCCCCAGGGCTCCCGTCCACTCCGCCCACTCAAGTTCAGTGGCCTCTGCAGCCCCTCCCTGCCCGCCCGCTGCCTACCTGTCCAGGTGGAGTTTTTGGGCCAGGGTCCGCCAGTCGGCACCCCGGCTGCAGGGCGGGTCCAAGCTGGTAATGATCTTTTGCCGAATGAGGAAGGGGATCTTGAAGGCACTGGGACCCACCAGGGCTGGGACCCCCCCTTCACTCTCCAGAGCCAGCAGCTCAGCAAACCTCGTGTCCTGGAGTGGCAGAGAGGAAGGGTCTGTTAGGACTTCTCCTGCCGGGGGGGGGGGGGGCTTCCGGCCAATCTCTTGGGCCCTGGGGTTGTCCTGAACATATAACCCTACCTCGGTCCTGCTCACTGGGTCTGTGTCAGCGACACAGCTGGGGAGCAGGGTGACCGGCTGGCCTGAGTTCCAGCCCTCTCCACCACCTCCCTCCCCACACCCCCTGCCTGCCCTCCCCAGTCACCCTGTACACACTCCTCCCCCACCCACCTTGGTGATGTTGAAGTTGATGTTGAAGCTTTGCCCGTCGCCCTCCACCTGCCACACCCACACCTTGCAGGCCAGGTCACTGGTGCTGGGGCTGACGCGCTCCAAGGTGAAGGTGCAGTGCAGGTACTGTTGCGTGCCATTCCAGATGTGGTAAAAGGGGATCTCCTGGGCGGGCCGAGAGGAGAGGCGGCGGCGTCAGGTGCGCCCAGCCCTAGGCTCGGGAGCGCCGGCCCCAGGGTCAGCTCTTACCTGGTAGCTGACCAGGAGCTTGCTCTTCCACAGGGAGCTGGGCACGTCGTGCACAGACAGGCGCAGGTTGTGGTAGCTGTCCTTGAAGTGCAGGAGGCGGGGCTCCTGGATCAGCTGTCCGCCCAGCTGCTTCTCCAGCTGCACCACCTCCTGCAGTGCCGGGGGCAGGGTTGGGGTCAGCCAGGCTGGGGGCTGGAGGGCCTCCCCCCACCCCCGCCCTGCCCCACCCCATGCCAGGGCCGGCCTTACCTTGAGTGCATCGTGGGTGTCGTGTAGGCAGTAGACTCGGATGTTGTACTCAAGGGAGGTGCAGGCCACGGGGGCAAACAGAAGCAGCTTGAGGCGCTTGGCCGCCGCCACGCTGAGGGCCTCGCCCACCAGGGCGAAGCGGCCCAGCTGCTCAGTGAAGACGTAGCAGGCGCCGGCCTCCAGCTGGCAGTAGTAGAGGTGGGAGGGTGACTCCTCGCCCAGGTGCAGCACATCCTGCAGGGGGCGCCCGCGAGGCGTCAGTACCGGCCTCAGGGGCTGGGCTGGGGCCACACAGCTGCACAGGACAGGGAGGCCCAAGCTCCCCTCAGAGGCCCATTCCCTGCTCACCTCCCAGCTGCCCTCGCACGACTGCTTTTTGAGGCGGAGGCTCCAGCTGTCGGGGCTGGGCTCCCCGCAGTGGTCCATGGCGAGGATCACAGGTCGGGTGAGCAGGACTCCGGGGGGCCCGCAGCTAACGATGGGACTCAGCAGGGTCTGACAGCCGGCTAGGGGCAACCTCAAGTGGGGAAATGCGGGTGGGGAGGGAAAGGCGTCAGCGGCCAGCACCAGGGCTGGGGGTGGGGTGACGGAGCTCACACCTGCCCCTTCCCCGGCCACCCCTTGCGCCGCCGCCCCACTCATGGCACACCTCACATCCTCGGGCTTGTGCAGCGTGAGGTAGATCTCGTAGATCTTTCCCCGGGGGATGGCATCTGGGGGGATGAGGAGGCTGATTCCTGAAACGGAGCAGGAGGGGGGCGCTGAGCCCGCTGCAAACCCAGTCCCTCTGGCAGCCTCCCCAGGCCTGGGCTGGGGACGCCGGTGTTGCACCAGGAGTGCCGCGCTGAGCCACCACCCACACAGGCAGGAAGCTGAGCTGGGTGCTTCCAAGAGCAGTGGAGGGAACGCTGGCGGGGAGAGCCTGCCTCGCCAGCCCGGCACCTTCCGCTGCAGGCAGTGTGTGGGACTTGGGCACGCCCTGCTTAGACCCTTCTCCCCCTGGCATTAAGGCCCTTCCGGTCCCACCCCACTGTCTTTCCAGCAGTACCTCCAGCCCAGTCTGTGCCATGTCCTTGGTGGTTCTGGAACCGTGCACCTGCTGCCCTGCCCAAGCTCCTCTGCAGACCCTGCCACTGCCCTCCCCCTGCAGGTGGCGCTGGGTCTGTACAGCGCCACTTGGCGTCTGCTGGCCTCCCCTGTCTGGGCGGCTAGCAGGTGCAGCGGGGGGGGGGGGGCACAGCAAGGACAGGGACCAGGGAGTCGCTCTAGGGGTGGTGACCACAGAGCCAGAGCGGCAGACGCCGAGGAGGGCCATGCCTGGACTTCACTAAAATGGGGTTTTGGTCAACAACAAAGCCCATGTGCAGTGGTGCCGCCCTAGGGCTGGTGACATGGCCACTGTCTCAGTTTGCTGAGGGTCAGTATGGTGGCCCTGGTATGCCAGGCAATCGCCGCACCACATGCCTCTCAGAACGCAGCCTGTGGTTAATCGATGTATGACTGTTCGCAGTGGCTGCTCCTTTCGCTAGCCCACGCTGGCCCCCCTGGAACCCACTGCAAGTGGGGGTGACAGCCCCAGACTCCCCCGGGGGTCTGCTTCCCGTGGGGGAGGTAGGCACACAGTGAATGCTAATGCCACAGCGAATCCCCCATCACACGCTCCCGAATCCCGCAGCCCCGCAGGCAGGTGGGGGCAAGGATGAGTAATCAAAGGATGTGCAGAGAAGTGTCGCCCCCCCCCATTTCCTGCCCGGCTACCAAGCACCCAGGTTCTGTCCGCCTGTCTCAGGTACCATCTCGCTTCTGATCCTAGTAGCACTCTGAGCGGTTCATTAGCATCGCCTATGCAGAGAGCAGACGCTGTCAGGTTAAGACCCAAGGGGGCAGCAGCAGGTGAGCCCATGGGAGGGGCAGAGGGCCCCATGCACACAGCAGCTTAGGAAGCTGGGCGTCCCTGCAGCTGCCACGAGCCCCGGGTGAGCACGTGTGCAAGGGGAGAGGCCCCAGTGGCAGCCAGCAGGGGACAGGGTCACCTCTGCCTGGCTGTGTGAGGGCTTTGCAGGGGAGCCCCGAAGGAAGGAAATGCTGGACTCTGGCTTCGCGGGGTGAACTCTGGGAACGGGTAAGCAGGTAAAAGGGGCAGAGGTGGGGTTTCCGGACAGAGAAGACCCAGGACGCGGTGTATGGAGGAGGCGGGCCTGGGGGCAAGTGAGATAGAGCAGGGGGTCAATGTGATCCCCGTTTTCTGGCTTGAACAACCAGAGTGTACTACTCACGAGCTGGGGAAAGCCGAGAGGGAGCAGGCTGGGGGGTGGGGTGGGAGGCAGCTCTGTTTCAGGCACGAGGGGTCTAAGGACCTGAGCCCACCCAGATGGAGCTGCCCGGGAGGCAGCTGGGTAGGCAGTGCTGGCTGGCGTGGCACAGAGGTGTGAGCTGCACAGACTCAGTGACTAGAGCCACCGGGCCGGGCCGGGTCATCGCGCCAGCGAGGGCAGCAGGGGCCGGTGCCGTCATCTAAGCCCAGAGATGCCGCACCAGAGGCGGCGGCAGTTTCTTGCAAGATGACGTCTGTGGATCGTCTAACAAGATGAGGACTCCCTCAGGGAGGTCTCCGTGCAGTAGGGGCTCCCCGGGGCCCTCTGCGCCTGCACCGTTTACATTTGTCCACGGTCTCCATGGCTGGTAAACTCCCGGTGGCCAGCCCCCATCCTACCCGTCTGCAGAGCCCACAGCCCCACTGGGGGTTCTCTCCAAAGCTTGGCCCCTTTCCCGGCTGGCCTGGCCCAGCTACTCGGGGTGAGGCTGCAGGCCGTGGAAGGAGCACCTGGGCCATCCCATGCTCCTCCAGGACGCGGTGTGGGCTGGACTGGCCTCTGGGGACTCCCCTCACACCCCCTGGGGTCCTTCCTACCTGTGTTAGGGATCATCAGCCGCCCCCCGAGGAAGTTGAAGGTCCCGTAGGCCATGTTGCTGGTGCCTCTAGGCAGGGAGCGGAAGTAGTTCTGGGTGGACAGGCGGGACACGAAGTCCTCGGCCTCAGCGGTGGGCGAGCTGTGGTGCAACGTGTGGCGGCCGCCCGACAGGGGGCTGAGCAGGTGCCCGTTGGTGAGCTGGAACTTGGGGCTGGGCCCGTCCTGCCGGGGACACAGGCTGCCCTGGTAGGTGGTGGTAGTGGTGCTGAGGTCTGGCTGGATGGTGAGCAGGTGGGGGTTGTCTGTGGGGCAGAGACAGGCTCAGGGCGCGGCAGTGAGGGCTTCCCCGCCAGCCAGCACAGCCCTGGCAAGGGGCCTCCGGCACTGGCGCCAGGCGCAGGGGCTTCACCTGCTTTGCTGGGCTTGATGCTGACAGGCTGGAAGCCCGAGGTAAGGATGGACGAGTCAGCCACGTCCGAGTCCAGCCCCTCTTTCTTACGGCAGTAAACAAGGATGAGGACAAGCAGCAACAGGACGAGACACACGGCCACGGCAATGAGGCCCACGTAGAGGGCCACGTCCTCAGGGCCCGACGCAGCTGCAGGAGAGAGCACAGCATTGGGCCGGGCAGGCGGTCGGGCTGGGAGGGAGAGGTCACTGGTGTCCAGCCCAGGAGGACGAGGCCTCCTTGCGCGCGGGGCATCAGCACACGCCCGGGCCTGGACACTCACAGCAGGGGGCGGACAATCAGCATGCCTAGGGCCCAGCCCTACACCTGCCGTGCCTGGCCGAGGGACTCTGGGCAGCTCACACCCTCATGGGCTGCAGGTTTAGGCCGAGGTGGCTGCCGGGAGGCTGGAGGAAGGGGGGAACTACTTTTCCAGGGTTGGGTTGTGGGGGGAGAGGTGGTGGTGGCTCGGTTAGTATATTTGCTATCTGCTCTTTGGGGGACCAGGGAGCTGGGGCTGGAGATGAGCTCCAGGGATTCCTCAAAGCAGGATGCTATGACCCTCCGAGCATTGTTAACAGGCTGTGGGACCTACTGGGAGGTCATTAGGTCTGAGTGCACGCTGCAGGGGGTGGAGGTGGGGACGCGGGGCATCACCCTCCGAAGGAGCTAAGGACGTTCTCAGTAGACCCTGGTTGGTTCTCTCAAGAGAGGTGTTATGGAAGAGCGAGGCTGGCCCCTCCCTGGTCTCTCTGGCTGCCCCCACTCACAGGCAGGCCCACCACCATGCCCCCTGGATGAGGCGATGCAGCCTGGGGGCTCTCCCAGAGCGGCTGCCGGGCTGATGGACCTGCGGCTTCCAATGCTATCAGCGAAATCAACTTTTCTTTAGTCTCCAGCAGCAAGTGTTGTTAGTTTTCGACCATGCACAGGGCATCTGCCTCCTGCCTGCCAGTCCCTGCCCCGGCAGCAGGGCTGAGAGGCCCCTCCTAGACTGCCTCCCCAAGGCCTCGGGCAGGGCTGGGGAGGGCTGGGGGGTGACTGACTGCTTGGGAGGGGTGGGTATTGACTTGAGAAGGGCTTTGCATAATGGAAGAAATGTCCATCAGAAAGGAATTGACACAGATAATTAGGTTTTTAATTGAAAGAATGGGGGGAGGGTGTGTTCTGGAGAAAAAAAATCCAACAGAGATCTTTAATTGTTAGCTATGGCCTTGTAATTAACAGGCCTCACAAACCTGGGGTCCCCACAGGACTCGTGTGTGCACCAGGGGACTGCAGGTGAGGATGTGGGTAAGTGTGGACAGGTGCATGTGCACGAGCCGAGGGGGTGTGGGCGTGCTAGGGACGGGGCATCCCTGGGCGCTTGAGCTTGGAGAGGCACAGCATGCCACAGGGAACTGACCCCCTTGGCTGCGGTCTCACCAGGGCTGGACAGGACCGACCCTGCCAAACAGAAGTGGAACCCAGCAGTGCGGGAGCACTCACTGTGCACGCAGAGGTCACTGGTGCAGTTGCGGGTGTCCAGGTCAGCGCCCTGGCACTCCTCGCCTCCGTTGCGGGGCGCTGGGTCCGAGCACTCACGGCTCCGCCAGTGAGTACAGTCCAGCCCACAAGCTGACCACTTGCTCCATGGGCTCCAGCTGCCATCCACTATCCAAGAGACAGACATGGGCAGAGAGGAGACAGCATGGTCAGCTTGGGGAACCAGCCCCAGGCGATCCGCCAGTGGCCCGGACGGGTGTCGGGACCAGGCAGGACAAGTTGGCCTGGACCTGGGTTCAATGCCAGGGCCAGGCCCAGCAATCTGCACGCCCTCCGGTGTCCAGCTGGCCTGGATGACGCATGCTCATGACGGGAAGGTAGATGACGCCAGGGGCTGCTTGGCGTTCGCCACCCCATGGAGGCCATCTGGTCGCACAAGGACCCTTCTGATCCCAGCCCCAGGTGGGTTCTGCAGCCCCAGGCTGACCCCAGCCCCTGTCCCCAGACTGTACCTCAGACCCTGCGACTTGGAACCTACCCTGAACCCAAGCTTGGATGCAGCCTGGGCCCCTGCCTCCGACCACACACTGCACCCTGAGCCCCTGCCTCCGACTGAGCCTGGCCCTGCATGGCGGGCGGGGTGGGGATGGAGCCATGGGGGGCAGGCTGGTGGGCGCGATGGAGCCAGGGCGCGGAGATGGCGTGGTGAGGAGCGATGCGGGAGGCGGCGGCCGCAGGTACCTGGGCACAGGGTGGCGCAGGCTGTTTTCTGGACATTCTGCCCCTCACAGAAGGCGCCCCCGTTGAGAGGCGCCGGGTTGGTGCAGCTCCGGCTCCGTTTCTGCCAGCCGCGCCCACAGCTGGCGCTGCAGGCAGACCACTCGGTCCACGTCGACCACCCACCGTTCACTGGCCGGACAGAGAAGGGCTGGGGTCAGGGAGCGGGGGTCGCCTTGGACTTGTGGGCCCGGGGATGCGGCGTGAGGGTACAGGGGCTGGGCTGTGCTGGGCCGGAAGCGCAGCAGGGGAGGTTAAGCCAGTGCACCGGCGCTGGCGGCGTGGTAGCACCTGCTGCGCGGGCCTCCCTTCTCCTGGTGGGCGCTTGGGGGCGGCCAGGCCAAACAGCGGCTCACGGGCTCCTCTGGCGGGGACCCCACCCTCTCACAGGGTAGCTCCTGGCCCCCTCCTCTGCCTGCTCCTGGGGGTGCCCGGGCCGGCTCGGACTCTACTTCCCATCCTGGAGAAGCGGGGGGGGGGTGTCCTATCGCCTTTCCTGCACCCTTGCTGTCCCCTCACCTCCTTCTGCTGTGCAGTGCACCCACACGCAGGTGCCCAGCCTTGTCCCCGACCCCCCGCCGCCGCCCCAGCACGCCCCCTGGGGGCCCAGCAGCCACACTGCAGCCCTTTCCTTAGGCTTCCCTAGCAGGCCAGGGGCTGCTCCACGGCCTCTCGCCACGCGGCCCTGCCCCAGAGGCACTTCTCTGTGCCTCTCCCTGCGACTCGGCAAGCCGGTGCCAGGGGCCCACCGTAGACGATGACGGCCGCAGAGGCGCTGCGGCGGCGCGCCACGATGTTCTTGGCCACGCAGGTGTAGTTGGCTGTGTCGGCCAGCCGGGCCTGCCGCACCACCAGGCTGTGCTCCCGCGTGATGTACACGTTGGGGTCCAGGGCTGGGTCCACCAGGTCTTCGTTCCGCAGCCACTCCACCTGGTTGAGGGGGTGGGGGTGGAGCCAAGCCACTGCACGGTGGCCCGCGCAGGCCCTGGGGACGGGGCGGGGCGGGAGCTGAGATCCGGAAGCCCCGCCCACCTGCGGAGTGAGCCCCGCAGCCCCCTCTCACCTCGGCCGGGGGGACGCCCTCCGGCGGGCGGCAGGGCAGCACGATGCCCTGCTCCAAGGACACCTCCTTGGCCAGCGGCTCCAGCTCGAAGTTCTTGCGTAAATCTGGAAGATGGACAGCAGTGCCCTCCAATCGCTGGGCCGGCCACTCCAGCAGCAAGACTCAAGTGCCCAGGGGGCACGGCGGTGGCCGGGCTGCGTCCGCAGGCGCTTCTTCCAGCCCTCAAGGCAGGACTGTGAGGTTTTCCGGCCGGACCGCCTCCTCCAGGAAGCTCGCTGTCCCCGTTCCCAGTGACCCTACCCCACCCCGCCCTGCCCCAGGGCCGGGCCGGCACTCACAGGCGATGCGAATGTAGGCTTTCTGGCTCTTGGTGGTGCCCGAGGAGCTCCACGCCACGCACTGGCACCAGTACTCCTCCAGCCCGAACACCTTCTCCACCTGCTGCCTCGAGACATTGATGCGGACTTCCATGGCCGGCAGCCCTGGGGGCGGGAGGGGCGGCTTGCCGGGCGGGGCCGCACTGAGCTCCCGGTGCCCAGCGCCCGCGCCGCCCGCGCCGGGGGAGTGGACCACGGGGGCAGCCCTTGTCCTGGCGGGGTGTCTCCCACAGGCTAGGAGTGGGGTCTCTCACTGCCCCTCGCTGCCCTTTGTAATCTGAGCTCTAGGGCCCTGAAGGGGCTTATCATGCAAGTTGGGGCTACAGCAGCGGCTTGCAAGGACCCCAGACCCGTGATGCCTCTGTAGGGTAGGCACCCTGCCCCTCCCTAGGGGCTGACAGGTCGATCCTGCCAGGGCTAATGCAATCACAGCTATTAGCAATACAATGAGAGTGATTATACAGTCTGGAAGTAGACTCCTGGGATTTGGTGGGGGGGTTCCCAACTGGATCATCCTCCAGCCCTCTCCTGAGGATGGCATTTTTTCCACACGAGGCCTGGGAAAGGGCTCTGAATCCTGTGCGTTCAGGGTCCTATAGTCACCTTGGGAGGGGCTGTGCCCCCCCCCCCAGCGAGAGACAGGAGAACAGTGTGGGGGCAGCCAGCACTGGGGCCCTGGGATCTTCTCTGCTCTGCTGGGCAGGCTGGCAGGGGGTGGGGTGGGGCTCCAGGTTGCACTCCCCACCCTGGGCCACACCTGTCCCCTGAGAGCAGGGCTTGCCAGGACGGCCCGGGAGCCCCTCTGCCGCCCCAGCAGGGAGATGCCAGCCCCCCACCCCCCACCCCCAGTCTGCAGCCAAAACCAGTGTCCCCAGGAGTGAGAAAAGGCTGTTTGTTTCCAACTTCTTCTCCTCCTGACCCCAATTTCCCTCGGGTCATTGGCTTATCAGAAAGAGAGAGGGAGGCCTGCAGCCAATGTGTTTCCATTGTTAACAGAGAAATTCAATTAGGGCTGCGGGTGCCCGAGGCGCAGGGGTCTGGCTGGGCCAGGCAGCGCGGGGCTGTTTTCTTTCTCTGAAACTCCCCAACGTGCCTCTCCCGCCCCTCCCCGACCTCTCCTCCGCAAGCTCCGCTCTCACCTGGTCCCCTCCCACCACGTCCCTGTCACTCCCGAATCTCCCAGCTGGCTCTCACAGGAGTGGGGGCGCCACCTCTGGCTGGGGTCCCTGCAGCTGGGCTACTTTGGCCCTTTCTCCGCTCTGCCTGTGCTGCCCCGTAAGGCACCTGGGGACTGAGCGCCTTGGGGTGACCCCCAGGGTCTGTGCGCTGGAGAGGCCGGGTGCTGGCTCCCTGGGTCATAGGGAGATAGGTCTTAGCCAAGAAGGTCTCTTACCCCCTCTCCCTCTCTGCCTCTGGGCTGTGGAGCGGGAAGGCTACAGAACATTCTGAACTGGACTCTCTTTTTCTCCTGGTCGGAAAGGTCCCCTGGGGGGGGGGGGGGCTTTGTCTGGGGCTGTGCCCTCCGCTCCAGAGGTCATTCAGCGCCTGGTTCCTGGGAGCAGTTAGTGGGTATCTCTGTGCCTGCACCCAATTGGCAAATGCAAGCAGGTGGCAGCCTTGGGGAGGGGCCAGCAGGAAGGATAGGGACCCGGGCTGGCCGCCCTGGGGTGTGTGGGCGATGCAGAGGATTCTGGGAGGAGGGTGTTGGCTGCGGGGAAGGGGGCGCTCTGAGGCCAACCTGAGCTTCTCACTCTCTCGTCCGTGTAACACACGGTAAGCTGTGCCCCCAGCCTGGACTCCAAGGCTGGATTTTGCTAATTTCAGGCTCTTCCAGTGTCAGGGAATGAGGATGAGGATGGTGGTCCTCTCCCAGGGCCAGGTTTGGGGGGAGGGGCATCTGACCACCACACTCTAGTCCCATACAGAGAGATCTGGGTGGAGCTCTGGACCTCTGCCATACCTGGCTGACCCCAGGACCTGTCTGGGCAGAGTCTCTGGTCTGTGCACCCACCCACAGGGCACCGCACCCACAGGGCACCACCGCCATCTGTTGGTGGGCTAGTGAGGAAAGTCTCTGCCGCAAGGCACACACTGGCTTTGGGTTGAGGAATCAATGAGATCAATGAATATTCAGAAGTGCTGGCCGCTGGCCATGGGAGGCCCGAGGCCAAGGTCGAATGCTCAGGATGGGAGTGGGCCAGGCAGTTACAGGTGGGAAGTGGCCCCGTGAGCTCTGCTTCCTGGCCTGGCTTGCATGGAGCCAGCCCAGGGGAACCTGGGCTTTTAAAATTTATTTTGAGGCCGGCGCTGTGGCACACTGGATACAGCCACTGCCTGCAGTGCTGGCATCCCATATTGGCGCTGGTTCCAGTCCCAGCTGCTCCACTTCCCATCCAGCTCTCTGCTACGGCCTGGGAAAGCAGTAGAAGATGGCCCAAGTCCTTGGGTCCTTGCACCCACATGGGAGACCTGGAAGAAGCTCCTGGCTTCGGACTGGTCCAGCTCCAGCCACTGCAGCCATTTGGGGAGTGAACCAGGGGGTGAAACATTTCTCTCTCTCTCTCCTTCTCTATAACTCCACCTTTCAAGTAAAATAAATAAATCTAAAAAAATCATTTTATTTATATATTTTTTAAAGATTGATTTATTTGAAAGAGTTATAGAGAGAAACATAGAGAGAAAATCTTTTTAAATTTTCTTTCTTTTTTTTTTTTTTTTTTGACAGGCAGAGCTAGACAGAGAGAGAGAGAGAGAAAGGTCTTCCTTTCCGTTGGTTCACCCCCCAAATGGCCGCTACGGCTGGCGCTGTGCCGATCTGAAGTCAGGAGCCAGGTGCTTCCTCCTGGTCTCCCATGAGGGTGCAGGGCCCAAGGATCTGGGCCATCCTCCACTACCCTCCCGTGCCACACCAGAGAGCTGGACTGCAAGAGGAGCAACTGGGACAGAATCCAGCGCCCCAACCGGGACTAGAACCTGGGGTGCCGGTGCCGCAGGCAGAGGATTAGCCTAGTGAGCCGCGGTGCTGGCTGAGAAAATCTTTCTAATCTGCTGGTTCACTCTGCAGATGGCTGCAATGGCCGAGGGCTGGGCCAGGCTGAAGCCAGGAACCAGGAGCCTCCTCTGGGTCTCCGATGTGGGAAGCCTAGGCCCAAACACCTGGACCATCCTCCTCTGCTTTTCCCAGGCCATTAGTAGGGAGCTGAATTGGAAGTGGAGCAGCTGGGACTCGAACCAGTGCCCATATGAGATGCCGGCACTGCAGGTGGCAGCTCTACCCACTGTGCCACAACTCTGACTCATTTTTTTAATTTTTATATATTACTTTAAAATATTTATTTATTTGAGAGGCAGAGTTGGGGGAGAGAGAGAGAGAGCGAGCCAGCGCCCAGACCTGGGAGTGCTCACTCAAGCCAGGGCCTGGGCCCCAGCCAGACTGTGTGTTTAAGACTTCTGGGCCGGCGCTGAGGCTCAATAGGCTAATCTTCCACCTGCGGCGCCGGCACACCCGGTTCTAGTCCCGGTTGCCCCTCTTCCAGTCCAGCTCTCTGCTGTGGCCCAGGAGTGCAGTGGAGGATGGCCCAGGTCCTTGGGCCCTGCACCCCATGGGAGACCAGGAGAAGCACCTGGCTCCTGCCATCGGATCAGCGCGCCGGCCGCGGCGGCCATTGGAAGCTGAACCAATGGCAAAAGGAAGACCTTTCTCTCTGTCTCTCTCTCTCACTGTCCACTCTGCCTGTCAAAAAAAAAAAAAAAAAAAAGACTTCTGGCTGGGAGGGGCCTGCAGCCAGAGGTTCCCGGACAGGTCCTCAAGGCTGTAGGCGAGCAGGGGTCTGGCTGCGCCACAAGGTGGCGCTGTGCCCGGGGCGCTGGGTGGTGAGAGGAGAAAGGGGTGTGTGTAATCTCAACTCCCTCCTCCTCCGCAGTTTGCGAGGGGCCCGCCTCATTCTCATTTTACAGACAAAGAAACAGATCACAGAGGCCAAGGGGTTGTGTATGGGACCCTCCCACCTGGACAGTGGGGACACCAAAACTGGCCTCTGACACCTCTAGTCCTGGCACCCAGAACTTTCCTGAGCTATGAGGTGGGAGCTTGAATTCCTGTACCTAACCCACAGCCTGGCACGGAGCAGGTGCTCAGCCAGCCCCTGAGGACAGCAGGAAGAGACTCCGGTCAGCAGGCACGGGCGAGGCCGGGGCAGTGCAGAGCTCCGGGGTCTGGCCAGGAGTCCCTGACCCAGAGAGGGGGCAGGCAGAGCAAGGAGACCGTCCCCTGTCCCTCCTGGGCTGCTTTGGGTGGACAGAACCCAGCCCTTGCGGAGCTGGTCGGGGAGGGCGGGCCGTGACTTCTGCAGACAGAAAGACCTGGTTAGAGCCCTCTGGGGACCCTGGACAAGTCCGCGCCAAGGCCTCAATCTCCTCTTTGAAATGACAGGCTGGGCTCTTTAGCCACACTGGGATTAGCACAAGCGCTTCCACGCGGCTCTCCCTGCCCGGGGCCTGGCCCTCGTCCAGGCTTCCCCTGCATGGCCCCGGCTTCCCAGAGGGCAGGTCTGACCACAGCCCTCTGTGGCTCAGCGGACTCCCGGCTTGGCTCCCTCTCCCAAGCCAGCCTGGCCTTCTGTGTATCTGCACCTCCGGCCCCGGCCCCGTGGCCCCTGGAAATGCTCTTCTGGGTGGTTTGGAGGCTTGAGCTTTGGTGTTAACTCCACTGGGTCCCGCAGTCTCCTGCCTGCCACGGTGCAGTGGCGACAGCAGGCCGGCGGCACTGGGTGTTTGTGTCTCCCGTGGGCCACAAGCAGGGGGCGTGTGTGCTCTGCTCTGAGGCTGCAGTGGGAAGGGGCTCGCTATGGCGAGGAGGGGGGCGGAGGAGGGTCTTCATATAGTGCCCCGGAGAAGCAAGTGAATGTGGGCGGAGCCCGGCTCTCTGAGAGCAGGAGGGAGGGGCTGCCTGCAGCTCCTGTCTCTTTGTCCACCCTGTTCCTGGGGAGCGCTGGGACCCAGACAAGTGTGCGCTGCCCACATGTTCACTGCCCAAGGCCAGGGCTAGGGTGAGGACTGGGGGTCCCGCTGCCCTGGGACCCCTCCCTGCACCTCTCAGCTGGGTCCCCCGGGCCCTTCCTGTCTCTGAGTCAGCCTCTCCATCAGCCCCTCCCGACCCCCAAGCTCACCAATAACTCTCTGCCCTTGTCACTCTGCCACTTCAGCCCCTGCACAGCCCACACCCGCTGCCATCTGCCTCCAGGACTTCGCTTGCCTGCAGCCCCTGCCTGGGGAGCCTTTCCCCCTTTTCTGTCCCTGACCAATTCCTAGACCTCCCTCTGTTTACACATCACCTCCCCCGAGGAGCCCCTCTGGATTTCCTGGGCAGCCTCCATTCTTTCTCCTCTGGCTAGGAGGTCACCGTGCTGCCTGCCTCTCTGGCGGCTGTCCCCAACAGGGGACAGTGAGTGAAAGCGTGCATGTACGAGTGAATGGAGGGGTGTACAAAGGAAATAAGCACCGAGTGTGAGATCCAGGAGCTTCTGATCATCTGGGGCCCACGCCCCCCAGCGCCCGGTCCAGGCCGCCCCAGCCCACCTGCTGTGCCCTAATTGCTGTCACTCTGGGGCATTCTGGTGAGGGAAAGCATCTCCTGACTCTCTCTCCCACCCGACTAGTGCGGGGTGGGGTCCGCTGGGGAGGCCTCTGTGCACACACACGGGGACGGCTGCCCTGCGTGGCTACCCTCAGGCGGTAGTGGGCGCACGGCTGGTTCTCGCCCGGCCTTGCCACTTGCAGGTTGGAGCGCCTGGGTGCCCACAGGCCCCTCCAGCCCCGCGGAGACCCGCTTCGCCCGCAGCCGCCCCTGCGTGGCTCCCAAGCCCGGCCTCACCGCTGCTGCTGTCCGTGCTCCGCTCGATGGCATGGTCCACCTGGCGCACCCACTCCCCGTTGCACTTGAAGAAGATCTGCGTGGCGGGCGTGGCCTTGCACACCAACAGCACAGGCTTGTTCTTGACGATGTACACGTCCTCTGGCTCCACCAGGAAGTGGGGGAGCAGCTCAGGGTTGGCGCCGGGCACGGGGTTGGGCACAGGGTTGGCCACCGTGGCACTCGGCTGGGCACCTGCAGTGGAGTCCAAGGGGGCAGGTGATCTGTGCGCGCCCTGGCGAGCCCGGGCGATGCGGGCGCAGCAGCGAGTGCAGCAGAGCCCGGCTTGCAACGCGGCCGGAGGACAGAACGGAGGCTCTACCTCTTCCTCCAGCCTCACTGGCCTCCTTAGAAGAAACCCACACATTGCCAAAGACCGAGACTGGCGGGGGCGGGGCTGGGGGGCACAGCGGGAGAAGGACCGAGGTCCCGCACGTGGGAGGCCCTGGGCTCGTGCCACAGCCAGGCTGTGGGGAGGCTGAAGGGAGCTGGACAGCCAGGAGTGGGAAGAGAGCAGGAGACCCCTCATCTGCTGCAGGGGTGGGGGTGGGGGCGGGGAGCTGCCCCTCCCTCCCCAGTCCCCATGCACAGTTGGGGCCTCAGCAAATGCAGTGATTAAAGGGAGGGAGAGGTGAGGGATGCCGGGAGGCAGGTGGAGGGTGAGCAGACAGGCCTGGGGGAGGGGCAGGCTGGGCTGCTGGCTGGCACCCAGGGTGGGCGTGGGTGGGCAGAGTGGGAGCCGGGAGGGACTCCCGACTGAGGGCTCTGGGCCACGGCCCACCCCTGCGGGGGAGACTTGAGTGCCGGCTTCCTTCTTTTAACTGAAAACCACAACCGTCCCACAAGTCATTTGTTGCTAATTGCACAGGTAATTGGCTCTGAGGCACTGCTGGAGGTGAGTTCCCCAGAGCAGGCTGACCTGTCTGCTCCAGCATAGGTACCCCTGGGGGGGGGGGCCCTCAGCCTACAGCGCCCCCCCGCCTCCCCTCAGGGCGGCAGGGACCACCCCCCAAACACGGATGCTCATTCAGGATGAACAGGGCCCTGGGCACAAAGGTGAGTTTCCAAGACAGCAGACTCCTTGCCACTGAGGACCTTGGGGAGTTAGTGGCTTTGTCATCTGTGAAATGGAGATCAAGTCCGCCCAGAGGGAGCCAGGGTCCCCACACGGCCGCCTGGTGGTATCCAGAGCACCTCCACGGCTTCCGTGGGGACAACTCGATCCTTGGACCTCGCGGCCAGGGGTCGGTCACCCCTCCCCTCCTGGTGCCCAGGACGCTGTCTTACCATGGGGAACACCCGCCCCCTTCGCCGCAAGACTGGGAGTTTGGGGAGGGGGGTGCCTGCCTGGGTCCTGCAGGTGCCGGGTGGGTGAGCCTCCCAGGGTGTCGCCCCCGCCAGCAGTGGGGCTGGGGGGGGCGGGCAGGGAGCCCGGCCCCAGCTCTGACCCTGCATGCACAAAGTGTAGCGTGGGAGCCGCCCCGTGACCCCACAGCTCCTCACTGTGTCAGCAGTGCCTGCCCCTCCCCGCCCCGCCCCCCTGTGCAGGCAGTGACTCCACTGAGTCTGCCTCCCCATGGGGTACGGGCCTCCCACAGAAGGAGCAGGTGCTGGTGGCCCCCAGAGCACCTGCACAGCCCCACCCCAGAGCAGGGCCCGCAGGGATGCAGGGGCATGGGGGGGGGTGCGGGGGCAGGACCGGAGTGGGTGCACCCCTGCCCCCAGCCTCTCTATCGATCTGCGTGCCCAGTACTGCTCGCCTCGGCTGCCCGCTGAACCCCACGCGATCCCTCATGTCTGCATTTAACTGCTAATGAAAAATAAATGTACTGTGACCAATAAGGGACATAGCTCACTTCCAGGGCCTCCGTCACGCCACGCTGCTGCGGCCTCCCCCACCCCCAGGGGGTTCACTTCCTGGGTGGTCCCAGGGGGCAGCCTCCAGGTTGCGGCTCTGCCCTCTGGCAAGGACACTCTAAGGCCAGGGCTGGGGGGTGGAGTTCAAGCCCCACGGCGGGGGGGGGGGGTGTCCTCCTGGAGCTCTGAGCTGCCTTCCCCTCCCTCACTCACCTCTACCCTGTGGTCAGCACCCGAGACCTGAACGCTGCCCTGCCCAGAGCGCCCCCTTCAGGCCTCTTCCCTCCATCCCCAACACCCGCCAGTGGTAGAGCCCTCTTCTCTCGCACCTGACTCCCACGCTGGAGCCTCAAGGTTAAGGCCAGGCAGGGCCAGAGGAGCCGAGTCTTTCCTGCAGGCTGCGGGGCTTTCTGCTTTGCTGAGGTCCCCACCACTCCCTGTTGCCTCACCCCGGGGCCGCCTCTGTCTGTTCCATTGCCTGTGTGGCTCCCGCAGGTGTTTCAGGACGGGCGACACACCCGTGGTCAGTGTCCCTGAGTCTCCGGCCCTCCTCCGCCACTCGCCCACGGGTCCCCCTGGCCTCCGTCCACTCTCCCCTGCTGGCCCAGGCCAGCACTTCCCAGCCCCAGGGTGGGGTTCTCTGGGAAGATGGCTGCCCTCCCTCCCTCCCAGCCCTCTCGTCACAGAGGGGTGAGTAGGTGGCAGAGGCATCTGTGCCCACCCCCGCACTGCGTGTTTGGTCCCTGGCATCCTGCTCAAGGCTGCCTAGTGCGGGGAGTAGCATCTGGGGGCGGGGTGGACCTCAGGCAGAGGCGCTGGGGCCCGCGGCTCCATCCCCAGCTCTGCTCACCCCGGCTTCACTACCAGGCCCAGTCACAGCCTCCCCCTGCCCCCCCCACCCTCCCAGCTGCCAGCAAGGAGACCTTCCTCTACGTGCAGGTTCCTCAGGGGCCTGGGTCTCCTGGAGCCGCAGGTGGGCTGAGCAGTGGGCTTGGAGGGCTCAGGCCAGGCTGAAGGGCATGGTGAAGACAGGACCAAGGCAGGGCCACCTGGGCTGCAGGCCAGTGAGGCCAGTGCCCGGGGAGCATTTGGGACTCCCTGCACGAAGGGTGGGCTGGCCGGGTGGCAGTGGGTGCATGGGAGGGGGGCTTTTCTGTGAGTAGCCAGTGATACCGACTGTGGTGGATGCACTACTCCTGGTCTGCCTCTTCCAGGAAGACTTCCTGAGTCCTCAGCACACTGTCTCGACCCCAAGCACCTATCCTGTCTGCTGAGCCTCCCACCAGGGCACAGGTGGCACTCAGGATGGGGGTGGATACGTTTGCACACTGCCTCTCTGTTCAGGCCATGAACTCCCATGGGGTAGGAGCCCAGGTCTGGCCGGGATGCCTGGATGTGAATGGAGTGTTTGTTGACTGACTGACTGACCCCTTCAACCTAGAATTTCAGGTCTGCCCCAGGGTGTCCCCTTCTTTCTGGAAAGGGTAGAGCACCCCGCAAGCGGAGTTCGGAGCAGGGAGCAGCCCCTGCCCCAGGCCGCCCCTGCCACACCTGGCTACACCTGGCCAGCCACTCTTTCTTCCCCCTCCCCCACCTGCACTCCAGGAGGAAGAGACTTGCCTGTGTGGCTCTGAGGCCCAGGGTGGGTGTGAACGCACTTTCAAAGGTTTGATTTTTAAAAAAGTACCACGAAAAGATGAGGTGTGATTAATCAAGCTATTAATGAACTCGTATTTACTGAGTGAGGCCTCGGTCCCTGGGAGCAGGGGGAAGGGTGCCACTGGTCTGCTCCCAGAGCTGCCAGCGCCTCGCCAGCCCCCACTGCCTCGGCCCCTCTCGTCCCCCCAGCAGCCCCAGGTGGGGGTGGGCACTGCGTCCCCTCGCCCTGGGGTGCCTGCCTTGGGGAGCCTCATGGCAGCCTCCCCCGGAGGGGGGTTAGACTCGGGAGATCCCCTGGGGCCACAGGGGTCACCATGCCCAGGCCAGGGAGAGGAGAGTGCCCGGGGCTGATGGGCCACGCCCTTTACTCGGCATTCACTGCCACACCTGTGATTCCTCAAGCGCTTGTGCACCTGCTGTGCCAGGCGCAGCGACTTCCCTACTTTGTTGCCAGCAGCGTCTGGTTTTCTTCCCGGGATGCCTCCCCCGCCCTGACCTGACCCCCCACTCAGGACATGTGGTCCTGTGGGCTGACTCTGGAACCCAGGAAGCTCTCGGCTGAACTCAGGGCTGTGGGCACGGAGCTCTGGAGCTACAGACCAGTGGCTGGGCAGGGCCGGTCCTGCACGCCTTGTGGGCCACAGAGGGCCAAGTGCAAAGTGAGGGCCGTTCACCTGGCTGAAGCAGGAGCTTGGGGAATGAGACAGCTAGGGGCCTAGCGTCCCCCCAGGTCTAAGGTCTATTCCTAGCCACGTGAGCCAGTACCTCTCTTTCTTAGCTGGAGCAAGTTGGGGTCGGATCCTGTTGTCCCATTGGTCCATCTGCCCATCTGTTACTGTCTTGGTGACTTATCCTGTTCAACCACCACCTCTTCTGGGAAGCCTTCCCTGACCACCAGGCCGAGCTGGCCACACCTCCTCAGAGCCCCCACCGCCCTTGATCAACACCACCCTGCCCCCACTCATGAATCTGTCTCCCCAGAGAAACTGCCGGCCCCCGCTCCCACCCCTCCCGCCGCCCAGCCTGGCCCGTGCTGACTCATGGCGAGAGCCCAGAGTGTGTGTTCAATGCATGTTGAACATCGCTCCCTGGACCAGGACCAGAGCCCAGAAGCGGAGGGCTGGAGGTGGAGGACACCGATTCCAACCTGGCTGCAAACCAGCTCTGCTCTGCTCCAATCGGGCACTGATTCTATCCACTCAGCAGGGAAGGACCTGGAGTCCTCAAATCCCAGAACCTGACACAGGGGCCGGGAAGGAGGGGCATTGACTCTGGGGAGGGTGCGTGGGGCAGTGAGCCCCTGGCCACCGCGGTAGGGGCAGTGAGCTTGCAGGCACAGGGGGCCAACTCGCCCTCTGCTGCCACCTGCATCCCCGCAGCCTGGGACAGCTGCGTATTATTATCTTTTAAACAGGACAGTTGTGTGATGAGGGCACTGCACCAGGAGGCTCTGATAACCAGGGACACACTCTGCACTCCGAGGGAGAGAGAGAGAGAGGGAGAGGTGGGGTGAGGGGAAGTTTGCCCCGTCCCTTCCCCGGGGCTGCAGATCTCGAGGCCCCATGGAGGGCCGCTGGACCAGGGTGCAGCTCCCAAAGCCCCTTCAAGTCCCAGACCGGAAAGCCCCAGGCACTGCACGCCAGCGCTTCCCCGGGCACACAGACCCTACTGCAGACCCT